ATAGTATAGATAGATAGATAGATACTATATATATATATATATATATATATATGTATATGGTACATAAGCGAGACTGTGTATTCCGACTGTGTGTGTGTGTCCGATGACCACGAATCCTTAAGCTAACTTCAATGGATTTCAAACACGCAAATACGAAGAAGTGAACAGGGCAGCCCTCTCAGAGTTGAAGTACCGGTATACCTCTACCGTTCATATAACATCAGGTGTGTGACAATACAATACAAGAGACAAACGCACCACACCTCTACAATCCATACAACACGGCGCACGCCGAGTCGGTTAAATAAACCATCATCACAGGTGATCGCGTTTTTCTCGCCTGGAAGAACTGCTAATGAATCATATAAGTCTCCAGCCGGGGAGGGCAGGGCTTGAGCACATACACATAGACATAGACATACATATACAAATACATATACACATATACGTACACATAGACATACAGATATACATACACATGCACAATACAGACACATACACGAACACTTACACATACATATACACATATACATACACATATGTACACACATAAAGATACAGATACAGATACAGATACAGATACGCATACATATACACATACATACACGCACACGTCACATACACATACACAATTATACTAAATACACCAAAACTGAGTCGAGAGATCTAACGCTAATATCAGTAAATATACATATCTCAATAGAGAGAAACCGGCAACAACATCAATACACCTCAGACGCAGCGATTTGGGTTATTAGAAATACGGAGAATATAAGGAGAACAAAGATACATCACGCATTCACAGACACTCACACCGCAAGCAGACCCCCAGCCATGTCCCACATTTAGCTCGCAAGTCACCGTACTGGTACAAGAACATACTGATCAACTGTGATGCAGACCACCACACGATGGTTTTAAACATTGAAACAGTATCATACTGTAATTCAGAGTGTAGTCCAAGACTAACTCACCACATGAACTTACATGCGTCTCCCCATGCCTGACCAGCCACACCTCCAGTTCACCCGACATCTATGCCTAGTTGTAGAGTTACGCTTGTGCTAGAAATCAGTCTTTAACGTACAAGCAATAGCCACACAGAGCTACGGAAGTAAGTATGCCCTATCACACTATATAAGCGATGATGTACAATATGTTCATAGATGTTGATGATAAAAATAGAGTCGTATAAAAAGTATACACACGATTTGTTCACTTTTTTTGGAAAACATCAAAAGAGAGCAATAATAATAACTCAAAAATAACTTCAAAAAAAATCATTTGAATTTATAACGTTATATGAAATGATTCATCTATTACACCTCGGGCGTATGACTGGTGTGTGAGTGTATAGAGCGGGTATGCATATCGGGTATGTACATTTAAAGCACATGATATATCCCGAAACGCCTGCTTGTATATGCGTACGTTGGTACTTGCACAAGTGCAAGTGAAATGATAGTGTGTTAGTACTACAGTTTCTCGCCGAAGCCTTAAACCACTACGCCCACTGACGTAGAGTACACAGAGCGACTACTCACCTTCTTATAGGGCCCATACACTCGCTTGTTCACGGTCTCTATCACTGGTGGATATCCCAATACAAACCAAAAAAGCATGACTGGAGAAACCAACTATGTTCTTCCGGCCAGGGAACACGCCGAGGAATTCTATGCCCACTACGATTTAGGCGAGGTTATCGGATAGTAAGTGGCGTATGAAGCATGTTGTGTTAACGCCTGCACGTGTGTGTTAAAGGTAGTACGGACGCGGTTAGTAATTGGCTTCTGAAGCATGTTATGGTAACACACGCATGTGTATGTTAAATTGAGTACAGTTGCGGATAGTAAGTGCGGATAGCAAGTGGTTTTTATTGAACGTAGTTAGTATTTGAGTATCGTTATCTAAATATATTGGTGTATTCAGAGGTATAGAAACGCATGTTTACAAATGCGTACAGGTACTTCTTTACAAGGTGATTGCATACTAGGAAAGATGCATGTGCCCATACACACGTAGCTTCTTCGTATGTGGAGATATGTGTGAGAATTATAGTATGCGATCCTACTTGGACGTTTATAGTATAAACAAGTTGTGGCTATCACTTAACACAACTACAAGAACTTATATGTTCATTTACTTAATGAACCCAATTCAACATACATGTGTGATATAT